ACTTATCTTGAAATTTTGTATTCTCTTTACTTCCTCTTGGTAGACAATAGAAAACATGGAACAATTTCTTTGTTTGTTAATATCTTAAAAATACCTTTTAATTAGGGGTGTCAATTAGAACCATCAACACGGACACGATATGAATTCGATACAGCTCTAAAATTAATACAATTGATAAATACATATAATAAATGAGTTGAATTAATTTTGATACTTCTAACATATTAAATAACTAGTTATTGTCTGTTCTTGAAGACATAAAGTAATAAAATAGTGAACAATAAACATAATTATATTCATATCCAAAATCAAATCACAAACATAGAGGAGAGATAAATAAATTTAAGCATCGGTTGCAGTGGGGATGAGAGGTGGTGGGCAGCAATGGTGGTAGTAAGAGACGGTGATGGTTGTGGTGGGTGACAATGACCGTGGGGGCGGCGACGGTAGAGGTAGTGGTGGTGGGGGTGATGGTGGTAGAGGTAGCAGTGGAGCGGTTTCAAATATATTTTTTTTTAAAGTACTTATGAGAAATAATTTTTTAAATTACTTTAAAAAAGTCACTCTAAACACACCCTTAAGGGTTTATTTTTTCTATTAAATTTAGGGTGTTAATATTAACCGTTAAATTAATTTTAAAGTAAAATTTAAAACAATTTGAACCGCAAAAAGTAAAATTCATTTTATTTATCTTTTGAAATTTGAATTATAAGCTACTTTATTATATAGATTTTTTTTGTGAGTATTAATACGAATTACAATGATATGACCCAAAAATAATAAAATGACATGACACGATTAACTCCCTACTTTTAATGTTTAATTTTGAGAAATCCATGATAGGTGGAATGTCGCATACTTCTTGAGAAGTTGGGACAAATTCTTATTAAGGTTTTTCAGTATAATTTCAAGTTGCAAAGGAGGTTAGCTCTAAAAAATTCATGTACCCTGCCTTCAGTTAGGATTCCATTATCTTTGTATACAGGGATGGAGAATTCCGAGACAAACCCTTTGGACAAGTATTTGTCAATTTTTATTTTTTTTTGAAAAAAAACTCTTTTAAAAAGAACTATATAATTGAAAAAAAATAAAATTCAAATCGGGGTTGAATTTTTCAAATTGGGATTGAATATAATTGAGAAAAGGATTGTTAAACGACTATATTTTAAAAAAGTCTCTGGAATGTGAACTCAACTCTCTCAACTGATTGATGATGATGCATGTCTTTGTGTTGCCCAATTTCTAGAATCCTCAATAGTAGCCTGAAAATGGTCTTGACCAATGACAAAAGCAGCCCACGAAGACCGAACGTCAAGGTTCAAATCTCCCCATGGATGATATCATTATGCTAAGATAAAACGATTCAATTCTTATGACAATCAAATAGAGAAAGACTTCAATACTATGTTCAATATCCGATTTTTGTGCACTCGTGCACCACACAAATTCATCATCAAGCCACGCCTAATAATACAAACTATTTTGTATGTGTATGCGGGCATGCAAATGTGTGTGGCCGTGAAGAGAGAGAGAGAGAGAGAGTAGCATAAGTAGGGGAAAAAAGGGAAGAAGAAAAAGATGTAATGGAGTGTCCATGAAACATCCTGGAAGGCTAAAAAGTGATGTAGACAAACATAAGGGCACATGGAGAAAGGGGGTGGTGCTTCCATTTTGGTAGGCTTGTGGTCAAGTTCACATCATGGATCAAAGTTGGAGGTGGGTCTCCTCACATCACTTTCTTTGTGTAGTCTTCTCCAAACTTACCCCCTTTTCAACCAACTAAAAATCCTCTATACATTTTATGTCTATGCTTTTTTGAATCTTGCTTTCTTTTCTAAAACTTTTTTCGGGCCCTTGTGTTCTACCGATGAATGAAGAAAGCAACATAGATAATGTCATATTAAGGTGATTTGACAGCTTTTGGCAGATTGAGAGTTTTTCTTCTTCTTCCTCTTTTTTTTGATTTAATATAAGGTTTTAATTGTGACGCTAAAAAATAATTTTTCGATATCATATTTTTATTTTTATTTTTATTTATAAAAACGTGACGTGCGTAAAAACATGGCATTTATCTTCTCTAATTTTTTAAAATATAATTTTTTAATATCATATTTTTATTTTATTTATAACAATGTGATATGCATAAAAACGTGGCATTTATCTTCCCTAAATTTCTAAAAGTATTTTTTTTTATAAAAAAAATGCTTCAAAAAGCAATGAATAACCATACCCACAAGACTTCATAAGTCCCTTGAACTTGAAGAAAGGTTAGGTTGTGATTGGAAAGTGAAATCATCACCATTTAGTTTTTTTTTTTTTTTTTTTTGTAATTAAATCTCGTCAGGGCGAGGGAAAAACTTTATTGATAAAGCAAAAAATCGCATCATGATCCATCGTTTCCCTCATCTCGTTAGGGTCCTTTGTGATTTGTAAATCTAGTCCCGAGCCCTGAGAGCTATTTCTTATGGAGACGAGGTTGTTTGCTTAGAGTATCTTCCAATTGTGGACACCCCTGTTATTTTCTTTTGGCTATTTCGACCGTCATTGATTTTTAGTAGGTAATTTTAAACACAAAATCCGAAACAGATAAGAAATTACCAGGTTCGAGCAATAAACGAGAGGACACGTTGGACCGTCAAAAAAAAAATAGTTTTGACACAATCCCACTAGAGACGACTATTTGACGTCCCTGATTGAGAGAGAGAGAGAGAGAGAGAGAGAGAGATGCGTGTATAGTTATTTTTGATGAACTGTGCGATGGGAACAATTGTGAGCAAGACAGGGGAGGATGACCGTTGTAGTACAAGCGCAGAGCAATGACAATACTAATCCGACGGTGTTTATAATTTTTAGGATAGTAACAGATTGGAAAAAAATAAAAAGAACGATAAAAAAATGATTGTTATGACAGAATATAGTGTTGTAAAATAACTAAATTAATCGAACATAAAAAAACTGAGATGAATGAGAACAATTTTAGAGAATATTTTTGGCCACTCTTTATTTTTATATGTTTATAGGCGAAGACACAGACCATTGAAGAATTAGCTTTCTAATTTTATTTGTTTTGTATCACTAGTCGTCCACACAGTATTTATAATATTCCCCACCGGAGGACCATTTAAATAACGCTAGGGTCGAAAATCTAATTTTAATAAAACTGTTGGGATCCTAAGTACTGTTTCGTTAAAAATCTTGCTAAGTTTAACGAAGGGAAAAAAAAGAGTACAGGCCTCCTCTTATTGAATACATCCGATCGAAATGATGATTGTTTAGTTTAATAAATTTTTGAGAGGCCGCATTCTGATTTGATTCACCAATTTCTTAAATATGTTAGACCATGAATCTTGACCAAATCCATCATTGACTTGTTTCATAAATGACTAATATTTCGAAATGATTGGATGATATTGTAATCATTGTTTGTTTAATTGATTTTCATGATATAGTCGTACAACCATAAGTAAACACATATCTAGTTTGTGATCGAGACTTGTGTGGTTCCAAAAGATAACCGACATCTGTACATCCAATTAACTGAAGACTTTGATCATTTGTATAAATAATCCCATATCCACCGGTCCGCGAAGAAACCACAATACATACTTAATCCTAGTCCAAGGTCTTAGAGTTGATGTTGAGTTGTATCATGTCAGCATGGCGACTCAAGAACATGTCAGGCCTAAGACGATAAGTGTTAATGAGACTTTTTTTAATATATTAATATTCTTAAATTTTAAATCAATTTTTATTTTGTATTTTGTGCTTAAATGAGAACAAAATCAAGTTTGAGAGAAATATAAAATGTGTTGGGTTTGTTTTTGTTTTTGTATAAGAGAGAAAAAAGTTGATACTTATTATATTATTTTTCAATAAGATAAAGTCAATTTTTTTGTGATGATATCAGACTTTTTTGTTCTTCAACCAATGGGTTAAACATTTGAGCCCAAATTTTAAAATTATTTTTGTTGGTTTAGTTTTTTTTTGTTGAAAAAAATTATATTGAATTTTAATTTTTGACCTATACTATATTATTGACTTCTTAAATTTGGGTCTTATTTATATCTGGGACCTAAAGTCCATACATTTTTCGCTCGCACTACTTATTAGTAGGTTAACTACAAATAATATATCTGATATTGCATAATTTGCTAGATACATTAATTCACCAATTGCACTAAGATATGATACTTTTAAACTAAAAAGTTTTTCACCTTCCTCTTGAGGCTAAAATGGATTTCTTCTATATATCTAATGATCTGACAACCATCGATAAGCTCAATGGATGGAATTTATTCGGGTACAATTGTTTCAAGACTTTTTCTGTGTATGTTGATTGATGCACAAAATTCATTGTATAAATGCTCAATCTGTTGGCCAAGACAATTTTATTTAGAGGTGTTCAAATTTTTGATCACCCGCAAATTCCGATCTTATCCTATCTTATCCGACCTTACTAATTGGCTACTCGAAAGAATCGAGCAGACCAATAGAAAATCTTTTGATATTTCGCAAAAAATCAAGTAAAAATGTGAAATATTTTCTTATATATGATGTATTGATTTTTATGACTTTCTTATTGTGTTTTATTGTAATATTTTATGTATTATTGAATTTATTGTGTTTTCTTTAGTATTATTGGTTTATTGTGTTAATTAATTGGTAAATGTTACTTAATTAAATTGTTAAAATAATTTAAAAATTAATAACTAAAAAATATGTGTTTACCCGACTTTCTACCCGATTGTTCCTTGAGAATATGGAATACTATAATTCTTAATCGTAGAATTAGATGAACACCCCTGCCCTTGATTAGTCCTACCCAGACCCTGCATTGGAGTGGAGAGAATCTCGAGTATCGGTCCACTTTTTGTTTTAATGGATGTTACAAAAACTTGTATGTAAATTTTTTGTATGTAAATGAAGAGTAGCACCTTACACGGGTTATCCATTAATCGAGATTCTGCACAGCATCCGAAAAGGTTGGCTTTTCTCGATGATCATGATGAGTATAGTTTATCAAGGTCCTCAGAGAATGCCTTCCTTATAGCCTCTCTCTTGATCTTGAGAGCGGCAGTGACAAGGCCAGATTCGGGAGTCCATTGTTCAGAAAGCAATTTGATCTTTGCAGGGATCTCAAACTTCTCCAGGCGTGCAACCTTTGCTGCCTGTACAAGAAACGGGAAAAGATGAGAGTAAAGAAAAAAAAGAACTCAAGAATAGAGAGAGAGAGAGAGAGAGAAGCAAGGCCTATCTTTTCTATGTACATTAGTCCATCATGTGTGAAAAATAGCACCAAAATAGATAATGAGATATTCTAGTCAACATGTACAATTGTAAAAACTATGATCAAAACACAACTGAGCATATCCATATGAATAACACTGATCTACAAAAATAGCAACCCTTATTCTATCGGTCTTCTAAAATCAGGCTAGTTGTCAACATCAGTTTGTGAGATGTAACACGTCAATGAAAGAGTTTGTATCAAAATCTCAAGTAATGTCTTTCAGAATGTATATAATCTGGTTACTTGCTTGAAAATCATCTTATATCCTGTTGCACAATAAAAATTGACAATTTTCACAAATGAAGATGAACGTTCAGTTGCAGCTGTGGAGGCATGTGAAGTTAATAACCACAAGACGAATCATTCTATGGGTAAGAGGATAAACTGTTGATTTTCTTGTTTTCGCCTTCACCTGGCTCAACTTAGGGATTATCAGCAACTTTTCAGACTCAGTATATTTGACAATATCAAGCTCATAGTTTTGCAACTACAATTTATTTGTAACCTAGCAAATATCTTTAACTTTGAATGATCTCTAACCATCCCAGAAGCTGAAGTTGAGATAAGAAAAAAGAGAAACACCAACCTATCCTAGTTAAACCTGTTCTGCAATTCTAGCAACTAAGAATCAATTGTAAATGTGAGAACATCAACCTCAAAATGATTTTTGATAGTAATCTGATGTATTTCATAACAAGAATGACCTCAACCCACAGATAACAAAGAGTCATACCAGGAATATCTGCCTCATATATTCTCGCAGAATATCTCTAAATTTGTGAACTAATGCTTTTGTCATGGACATTGTACCCTAGGATTTACGTTGCAAAGTGTGGCAAAGACCATTGGCGTTTCCACAATGTCTACCACAATATATAAAACTTTAAACATGACAAGAACTTTATATTTGGATATATGATAATAAATGTACTTAACCAATTGTACTCTTATGTGAGAGGCTACCTCCTTAATTCTTTACAAAATCTAGAGGTGGCAAACCTATCTAATTTGGGGATATTCACAGCTGATAATGGCATGGAAAAGGGTTTTTTACAAAGCTCTTGCCCTCCCCCTTAGATCCATCATTGCTAGAAATATGAATAATTCATAATAAATCATAAATTCAAATTATACAATCTCCTTTAATCTCCAGATGCATTTTCACAATAAAACATGATGTCGAGTGTCCGACGACTCCAACCATTACTAGGTAGCCCACATGTGAACTCTGGCACCAAAATATTGCTCAAAATAATTTGCCACATAATTGTCGCTTTAAACTACTCCTCTGGTGAAGTTAGCAATTGTCATCTGTAACTCTTGACCTTGTATGCGAGCAAATGAATAACTATAAAAAAGATATTTTCGTGGAGGGACCAGCATGTAATCTTCAAATTGAGAAATGTCTAGGAAAATATTTAAATTAAAGGGGAGCTCATAACAAGCATACTCATGTGCCTTCTCAGCCGCTTTTGCTCGGGCATTAAATCTATTCTCCGCCATTATGCTGAAAGTGAAATCCTACGAGTGCACAAATAATGTAAAATTACCTTTACCAGTGAACCAAAAACTTCCCTTCACAGTTTCTTCTTTTAGGCATATTTGATTTCTTGCTTTGAAGCCCAGTCTTCCATCATAGGCTGTGAAGCCACCATGAGAGCCACAGAGCAACTACGAAAAGGATCAGCATGCAGCATAATATTGTCAACATAGGGACTAACAATGAGGGCAGTCTCAACCTGCAAAGAACATATCTATCCTGGTGAAAATCCGATCAACAACCATACAACTACTGAATAAGACTGAAATACGCCAAGAAGGATTACCTTCCCTAGAGAGACATATTCTCCATGCTGAAGTTTAACTATGTCCTTTTTCCGATCGATTATCTCAAGGCAGCCATTGGCATGAAACCGCCCAATGTCACCCGTGTGGAACCATCTCATTCCTGTCTCATCAACCTTTTGGAATAGAAAAGTGATAGTTCCTTAATCCCAGCAAACATTTTGCTTTTGGATATAAGATAATATAAAGGTTTAAACCAGTACCCTGTATGCTTCCTTTGCTTTCTCTTCGTTTTCGAAATATCCAACAGTAACATTCGGCCCACCAACAACTACTTCTCCCCGAGGCATTGGAGAATCACTTGTTAAGTACCCACCCCCAGGCCAATCTATCAACTAAAATGCAGAAAATGCGAGTTACCATGAGGCAGAGGTGATATATCTTCTCATCGAAGTAATGACAATCAAACCATCATTACAGGATGGTCATATTAATATTATAAGACAAACCGATAATGATAAGGGGAGAAAGATTACTACTGAATGGTCATATCAATTTCTAAAAACAAATGGACAATGATAAGGGGAGAAAGATAACTTCAGAAACTGCATACAGAAGGGGTGAGGGGAGAGAGAGAGAGATGAAATGAAATGTAGAACTGTGATCTTTCATCTGGAAACAATTTTCTTAATTCTGTAAATACAATCCATATTCCTTACTATGATCTTTCTGTGGAACCCAATCACAAGGAATGCATAAATCCCCAAGATAACATTTTACAAGCCACCCAAACAAAGGTTATCCCCATAAGGATAAAATGCCAATTTACTAACATATGGAGACAAGCACACAGAACAGATGGGTTAATGGATACCACATGGAATGATCAACATTTCAGATATGAAAATTTTATAAGAAATTATAGTGATGGTTAACATAATAGCAGAACACCTAACAAACGATTTATCCTTAGAGAAGAGCTTCCCTGAAATTCCATCAGTGCTTGTAGCGGGGTGAATGTTTGCTCAAAATTTACATGATGAAGAAAGGAGATGGAACACGTCCACCGGTAGTTTACCTTAATAAATGAGCAAGGAAGTGGAGCACCAACACAACCAACAGATGTATCATCGTATTCAGAAAACGTCCCACCGGCACAAGTCTCAGTGAGACCATACCCTTGACCTATTGGAGCACTGGAAACAATAATCCAGATAGAATGAATTTTTTTTTTTTTTTTGACCAGGAAGGAGTAAAGTTTATTAATACATTTACAAATATTACATGGGGTGAGAAATCCACCAATAGGGAAAAGGAAAATCCTGAGAGAATGAATGATAACCATTCAAACAAAAAACAATAGAACAATGAAAAATAGAAACTGAATCTTACAAGATAGAGTGTCAGAGCATGGGACAGAATCATAATCATTAACGTTTATTAGGAAAAAAGGGGGAAAATAGTACTACTTCACTTGCTTCAAATATATTACTTTCATTTTTCATCCAACAAAATACTACTCTTTAACATTTGTAAGAACACCAGGGAGAAAGAAAACTGATCCATTGAACATTGAGAAAATGAGCACTCATGTGCACAATAAGCAAAATCCTAAGAAGCAGGGATATGGACACAAATATGACATGACAAATACATGTCATTTCTCTAAAACATTAAGACACAAGCACATTGAGGATACATTAAATAAAATATCCATATATATTATTTTTAAGATTCTGAGTTTACAGATTTGATCAAATTCGTATTTTCTAATAACCATGGGTTCTTAAATTTAGCCCACTTAATATTTCTTACAACCATGGCTTCACATATCACATACTTGGTCAAATTTATATTGTAGTCCACAGGTTTCTTTACTGTAAAAATTGACTAACAATTTGGACCAAATATGCATATATAGTAGCCAAAATTCTCTCTCCTCATCTGCAACATCATGTCTTTTTTGATTTTTCGTCCCCGTCGATTCTACGCAGCATGCCCTTTGTCTTTGTCTTCCTTTTCATCATCATCGTCGACTTTATTTGGGACTCTTCGATCCAACAAACAATGCAAATCAGGTGAGTTATATTGAAATTAGTTACAAGAAAACGTGTCCCGACATGTCAGGAGCATCTTCTGGAGTGCCCGAGATGTGTCGGACATTTAAAAAATTATATTAGGACATTCTTTTTCATGTATCCGGGACATGTCCATGTCCCAGACCTGTTTGGACATAGATACGTGAGGCAAAAAAGCGTGTTTGTGCTTCATAGGCAGAACATAGTACCAGTACAACCATGTCGCCATGTTCATTTGAATTTGAATCAATGACTCTAAAAATGGTGTCTTATAGATACCTTATTTTGTTCAGTTGTTTGCTGCCCAATGGTGGTCGTTTGTAACCATTAAAAATTACGGATGCAAACGACTTTCAAAGTTGTAGTATATGGACTGCGGGTTGCTAACTTATCTTGCATAAAAGGATCGACGAAAACTTTTGAAAGGTACTTTACCCAAGACAAACGTTGATGAATCTTTGAGTGTCATCAGAAAGAGGAGCGCCTCCACACAATACAAAACGGATATGACCACCCAAAAATTGCCTGAACCTTCTAAACACTAGAAAGTTCCTTAGAAGCTTTTCTAGGCCCCATGCCCCAAACCAACTTCCGTTTATTGCAAACAATCGACGAGCATATGCCAAATCGAACAATATCTTTCACAGTCCACCTGATCCATCCACCTGAAGTTTAAAAGATATCACTATTTTTGTAATATACCGTGTCTAGAAAAATTAAATTTCAAAAGACATAGGAAAAAATACAATCACAAGTATGTGTGAATATGTCCACGAAAGATTTCACAAACCTTCTTACGCACAGTCTGTCGAATACGATCAAGAATTGCTGGGACTGCTGTCATTAATGTGGGCCTTAACATAGAGGCATCCCCCTTTGTCCCCTTCTTTATCTTATTCGAAGTATCAGTGAGAGTCAAAGGGGATCCATATCCAATAGAACTTCCAACAGCAGCAATGACATTCTACATTATAAATACAAATTTGTAAAAATACTCTGCAGAGGCAAGTGATAAAGAAATGAGAAAAGAATGTCAACCACACATATCCTGTTAGGGCAATCACGCAGTTTCCAAGATGCACAATACCTCTGCTGCTAATTCAAGAATATGGGCCAGGGGAAGGTATGCTAAATAAACATCCTTGCATCCAAGGCCAGGCACAATTGTCATAACAACAGAAACAGTGGCTAAAACATTGCCATGTGTCATCATCACACCCTGTATGAAGCAGAAGTTCCGCACATAGGTTAAAACTACACTAAAATGATAATCTGCCATTAGCAAGCAACTTCCAAGATTTTTGAAATGGAAAAACAAAAGGAAATCATACCTGCACCCCAACGTAAATAAATTCAAGCCAATTCTCTCACTCTCTTGGGTCCAGACAATCCATACAAGTTCAACCAAACCATACTTGTGCCATGGCAAATTAAATGTCTCAAAATGATTCTACAAAGTATGCATAACTATGGACTTTGACAGAGAGAAGAAAGCACACAGGAAATATTTTTACAACAATGCTTGTGTTCACCAGTATGGTATACTGACAAATTTTGCTTTCAAACTCAATCGGGGAGAGAGAGAGAGAGAGAGATGTGATACTTATGGGCCTGTCTACTTTTAATGGACCGCTTATCAGAACATGAAATGTGACAAGATAATAAAAGACACTAATAGTCAAATTCGGCACATAAAATATCAACTTGTGTTAGTCATTTCTCTGTGAGAGCATGTCTGTATGAAGTGCCACAACTTAACCATAAATGAGTATCTTAAGGTGTCCTGTCAGTGCCCCTCGCTGAACCAAAACTTAATAACCTATGAAGTTCCATTTCTTTAAGTCTTCATTTTTAGACAATGCTTTCTTAAGTTGGCTGGACAGAGGTAGTCATGGATTTAAAGGTATAAGTGAGCCGATAGAACTGAGTAATCAACTGTTCAAGCGTGAATAATGGTGGACTCAGTGACCATGTTCTAGACCAATACAGTGTCCACTACTGTTACTGGGAATCAACCAGAGCCGGTTGCCACTCCAATAACTGAATGCCATTGTTTTCTAAACCAAAATAGACTAGCTTCTCAAACTGTGAAAACTAAGCAACAAGGTTCTCAAAATTGGCCAAAACTGTTTTGTACCAATGAGTGGGAGGTTGATGAGTTTTCTTATCTTTTATCTCAGTTAGGTGGGATAATTCCAAGACCATCAGTTTTTGATAGAAGGTATTGGTCTATTGTCCCTTCTGGGGAGTTTTCTTGTAAATTGTTCTTTGATTCCCTAATTGATGATTCTAGTATTCCACAATTTGATCCCTCTAAGATGATTTGGAAAGCAAAGTATCTCTTAAAGATCAAGTACTCACATGGACTGTTGCTTATAAGAGACTCAACACTACCAAGCGCTTCAAAGGCAGAGGTCTCATTGTTCCCCTCATTGACAGTGGTGTATTATACATAGGATGAGTGGGGGGAATCCATATCATTCATTCCTACTTTTTTCGGTTGCTTCAGCATTATGGAGAAGATTATTTTTGTTGATAGAAAAGTATTAGGCATCACCCTTTTATGCCAATGCAATGTGATTGAGTTTAGAAGTTTGGGAGACTAAGAAAGCTCTTTTTCTTTGGAGATGTGCAATGTTAGCAATCTTCTGGGCTATATGATTAGAAATGAATACAAGAATCTTTCAAGACAAGGTGGAGGATGTACAAGGTCTTTTGGAAAGAGTTTGTTTCCTGAAATCTTTTTGGGTTTCAGCGTCTCTTGATTTTAAGGGAATTCCGTTATTTTTTACTAGGGCAGATTCAAAATCCATATGTGACATGGAATTTTCTTTTGTTTTTTTCGCTCTTCTGTATTGGTGCTTTCATTAGGAAACAAGTCTTGCCATAATCACTTTCCTTTTTTGCTTTCTGTATTTCCATAATTTATAAATTTTTCTGTTCATCAAAAAAAATTATAGAATTATTGCAGCAGCAAGAAAACAGCTTTTAGAACCTCTATGCTACAGTATCAGTGATCATACATGACATAAACCATGATCGCCCATTACATCATTTGAAACAATGCACTGATACAAAGGTGGCATAGAAACCATCTTTCCCAAATTTTTCTAGCTAGTTTCTCATTTTATACATGCACATCTGGAATCAGAAGAGAAGATTGATCTAAAATACTTAATCAAACTCAAGGCATCATGCATGAGAATGTGGCTTCCAGTTTGAGAGCAACCACTTTGCATAAACATTGGCCAAAGCTTTTGTCTATATCCAATTTACCTCTCACAGCAGGATCTGTGTAGAGTAATAGCCACAATTCGCCGTAGTCCCCAATTCAAAATGCTTTGTGGGACACACGAGTCGATACAAGCTTAATTTAGATTGATTGTACTTTCAAGGAATTAGACTGTTCATGGAGATTAGATAACAAGTCTTACCAATCCATAAAACTGTTTTTACTTTGATCGAGGAAAAATACTCTACGAGGCATTTTGATGGTGGTAAATCATGATGCTGAATGCATGAGTTTATGACGTAGTCCAGTCACAACATCAATTTTGATTTATATATAGTTGATTTGTTAATTCACTGTGGTTATAGCATTAATGAATTGTTGTTTTGAAGTTAAATAATGGTTAAATTACAAACTAGCACTGGCTTAACAGAGCAACATCTAGACGTATTAGGACCTTAGTTCCTGATTTCCATTTTATACTTTCGACACTCCCAATCCAACATTGCAACAGCAACCAACCCCAAAATGTTAACAGCTAGTTGTTGAGGTATCTAATATATTAAAAGAGGGGGGAAGATAAAGGAAAACAGTCACCAGTATTTTCCAGAGCCTCTGGAGGTGCCAATATCTAGTTGTTAAGGCCTCTTAAATGTCACTCCAAAGGCATGGGTTCATGTCCTCCCACCATTTTCACCTTCTAACCCCGAACCATCACCCAAGGCAAAAAACATAGAACAATATAACTTTCCAGCATCTTCTTTTCTTTTATCAATCATTCTCAAAATAATATTATTTTTTGGAATTGTTAAATATACTTTATCTCTTTTCCCATTAGCGTTTAGGGCTCAAAAAGAAGGAATACTGGCACGTGCAAATAAGCACGGTTCACTTAGAAGTCAAATGCACCCATATGGATCAGATATAGAACACCTACATCACCTAAAGTGAAGTAAAGAATCAAACAACCTACTTTGAGGGGAAAAAGAAGAAGTTAAAGAATCAAACCGGACAATAACGCATCTGAAGTAAGGAAAAAATCCTCTACTAACCTTAGGCAAACCAGTACTCCCACTTGTGTACATTATTATCACAGCAATATCAGCTGAAAGAGGCAAATCTGCATCAGCAGGATTCTCTTGGCCAAGTTTCTCCACATCAGTAAAGGAAGTGATTGTCCAACTACTGTTTCTCTCAACTGCCGTTCCATTTGATTGGATCTCGTCATCCATACATATTACACGTTTTACTGTGTCAAGTTGTCCACTTAGCTCTGTAAGTTTCTTCAGTTCTTTGTGCCCACAAATCACAGTTGTAACCTCTGTCTGAAGAGCAGATTGGAATATGAAATGAGAAAATATGTGGGATTTGTACAAGAAGCACATAGATGCCAAACAGCAAAACCTCTGTCTGAAACTTCTTGTTTGAGGTCACAAGTATCAAATTAAACTGACAGCAAAGAATAATGTACAAGAAGCATACAGATGGCAAAGATAAAAGGTTGGTGAAAGTACCCAACGAAGGAACCAAATATATTCTTCGTCCTTCGGCAAGATGTTTATTCAAATGAAATAGTTCTCATGGTCGGTTTTGATACCAAAACCATGGTGAAAGTACATAGAACATAAATATGTGTTTCTTCCTGAGGATGATTCTTCTCAACCACTAAAACATATTTCAGTATGAGGACTCCCACTCCACTTTGGACATTATCTCCCAAGACCCACCTTCTATTATTGTCTGTCTTCCTCCTTCCTCTGGTCTGTATCAGCCCTTAATCATTATGAAACCATCCAAGCCCATATTCGCATCAGAAGAAGCATCATGTTAATGCATGCTGCTCCACAGAGCTTGGGCAAGAGACCTACATTTTCTAGAACCTCAAAACTTCAGCAGTCAACTGGAGCAGTTCCTTGTTGCAAAGGTGACCCCTTCTCTGCTTCACCATCAAGTACTCTTCACCAAATCCGTTCATCAAGAAATTAAGCCACTTTCATGTACCCGTATCTTTTCCCCAGTTAAGATAGCTGTTTTGTTTTAAAATTCAAATATCTACCACTTTGAGAAATTTTATACAGATGATAAATTATTGGCATATTCTGACCAGGTGGTCAGGTGGGTGTGCTTAAATAGATTCAAATTTAGATTTATTTAACTGGAATTGAGACCCTGATTCCAAATGCAACATTTGATTTTCACATAACAGTAGAAAGACAATCTTACAAGCAAAAAGAATATGCCACCTCGTAGTTTTTTTATAAGACTTCTTTGTTATAAAAACCGATATTAGAAATAAAGGACAACATTTTTTTTACAGTAAAATGTAACCTGCGGCATGCATTGTGAAATCTAGATTGAGATGACTCATAAATTTATAGTATCAAAAAGCATAAGAGAGAAAACAAAAAGGATCACATAATGACATAATTAACTAAGAAACCTGATACATTTTCTTTCATGGGTTGACTGAAAAGAAAAAAAAAACAGTACGTTCTTTCTCCAACTGCATAAGATGCATGGCATGCTCAGTTCACCTCCACCCAGTCGGTTCAACTAATCTGTGACTCATGCAATCATGCAAGTATTATCTAAATGAAATGAGAAGTTTGACATAATAAAAACGATCCACCCAATACTTATGCTGAATTCCCTCTTCTTAAACATGAAGCATCAACTTTTTCGGTTAAACATCTTGAGCTTTTATCCAACAAAAATATCCATGAAGTTCTTGAACATGAAGTTCAACTATCTAGATAGTTGGCCATGTCATGGTCACATCATTAATGACTAAGAAGCCAGTCAAGTGGGTCCTGTCCAAATTGAACAAATAACTACACTTAAATCCACATACTGAAAAATTGAGTTAGGCAATGCTTAGGAGCAGCATCAATTTAGTGATAGTGTACGAATTACAAAGTTGGGACAAGGGGATGATAACATTCTAACCACAGTTATAACGTAAACAGTGCTTCAGGTGAGATTGAAATTTCAATTTTATCTAGTTGCCGTTATCACTGAATTGATTTTCTTATTATCTCATTTTCGAAGTTAAGCAGATTTAGCAATATTACGGTATGTGTCTACATATCATAAAAGACTTCATACTGAACTGTAAAGCCTAAAAATGTGCCTTATAAAGGTACCCAATCATGGCAATATAAAGTCTAAGTTTGGAACAGATCATGTTTTTTATAAACTTGGACTCAAATAAATGATGTTAACCAAACAAATCTTTAACCAATATTAGCCGATAAAACATCTACTCCCTTTGTTCTCTCCATGATAAGAGTCTTTGCAATTAATTGCACTTGAAAAACTGACAGTCTTACCCTAAAGTTAGAGCACAACATTCCGTATAAAACTCATGCAAACATGCATTTGATACACGCGTGTGTGTGGGTGAATGAGATGACAGAGAGGAGATACGGACCTCATTTAACGAGTGACACAAAGCATCCTCCCCCAATGAAGCATATATGGTCACAACAGTAGCATTGCGCCTGAAAAAACCTTGTTCCAGGAAAACCAAATTATAATGATAAATGACTATGATAGGCATTGGCAAGTTTAAATTTACATCTTAGGTGATAAGTGAACCAGAGAACCAAATTCTCTCTCTGAATATGTTCTGATGGTAATCAATTGCGACATCTGTACATCACAGCATTATAGGAAAAAGATACTCTGCCAAAACTAAGGGTTCAAACTGAATCAAATAATGGTATAGTAAATCATTATTATCTTTTTTAAGAGAGCTTAAATATAAAAATCAAGGAAATTAGATGTTTAAACAAGACAAAAGTGAAGTATTCTAACACAAAAGGACTAAAAAGATTTGTGGGACTGGGTCTTTTTTCTAGCTTCTTTTTGGGCTTCGGTGTCAAAGCAATTTGAGAATATCCCTCTGTTTTGTATTGTATCGAGTTGGATAGCATTGTGTGGAAGATGACTTTGATTTTTTGTGGTTACCTTTATTGTACCTTGTTTTCATTGTAATAGGGTTGGACTACTTGTCCACCTTTGCTCGGATTATATTATCTAGTTATTAATGAATTTTTGTTTCTTATCAGAAAAAAAAAAGAGGACTAAAAAGATAAGCACCTGCAATGCAATAAACCATTCTTCCCTTGAATCAGCAAAAAGTGCTACACGTTCTTCCTTTTTATGCCCAAGTTTTGCTAAACCAGAAGCAAAATTGCACACAGCTTCTAACACTTTTCCATAGCTTGACCACTCATAATCTCCCAAATGAAGCTTCTCAAAGGACCTTCCATTTTCGGATATTTCCATCTCCCTCGAAATCAGTCTCCGAGTTCCAAGCAGTCTCTTGTCTTTGTGCAGCTTGCATGAGTGCTCAAAGAGTTCTGCAACTGTTGTGACACCTGACCAGGCTGTTTCTACTGGAGAAGCAAACCGATAGTTTCGGATTCCATACCCAGAATGCCCACCAACGTCAACAGGCAACCCTCGCTTTTTTCTATTCTTGGAATTCCGAAATAAAAGAGTAAGTAAAAGAGGGACAAGCAAGCCAACCATATAAGCACGCATCTTCCAAGGACTATAGTGCCAGAACCCCCACCAGAATCAACTAATTTAAATCCTAATTACAGAAAAAGTGCGAACAGTCAATGTCACTGATGCACATGATCAACAGCAAAAGCAAGGTCCCACAGAAATAGCATCTAAACCCAAAATCAGATCAATTGGTGGTAATTGTGCTTAGTTGCAAAAAGAACAATTGATTTCAAACTCAGTTTCATGCCACAACAAGAACAATTGATAATATCACCAATTCATGTATGAAGAAATCTACGCTATGATAGGCATGGATAACTAATGTATAGAACATATGCTATTTCAGTTCACTATAGGAGTCTCCCTCCCCCACTTCCAATGAGGGAAAAAGGCACAACAAATCTATCATTCATCATAATGAAGTCACGTATCTTTCTTTCAAAAAAAAAGTCATGTTTCTTGAAATCTCGGAAAGTGGTTTTTGGCTCCCATATTGAACACAATTCAGAAATCCGCGTGGTTTTTCCAAGAACACAGGTAATAACTTTGGCAAATGCCTTACCATAAAACTACTCTCCTACAGAAAGCCAATGTTTTGGTATGTTGGTTTGTAAACTCATTTTTTCTTCATTTTTTTGCCACTTGGGTATATAGAAGACAAAAAGAAACTGCATAAATAGGTGTGACATAACCACCCACAAAGGGAAATAGAATAAAAAGCAGCATGGAACAATGTGAGCACAGACGTATAAAACTCGCTATTTATAGAAGAGACCTCACATGTTTCTATTGATGTAACATCTATATGCAGTCTTTTATAGGTTATGGCTATGCGTCAAATCAATGACACAAACTCTCACTAAATTATCGTTCCACGATTACCCCTTACATCCACAAAGTAATGCAGTGATGCCACTTTCTCATATCTGTGAAACACATAGGGAATGAAATTCAAACATGCAACAAATGCATCAAAAGGTTAATGATGATCATTAGAGAACAAAGATAACAATCAAAAGACACCAAAGTTTAGACATTATGAATCACATATACAGTAGGAAGTACGGATATGAAAATGAGATACGGGTAAGGTACGATACCTATATAGCGACACAACAAAACCTAAATATTTAAGATACGGATTTGTCCAAGATACTCTTATTATGGTATATCTATAACATGAACATGACTAATTAAAGAAATCAAAACTAAGATTTAACTAGTTGGTTTATTTACAAAGTCTTGTTGCAAAGAGAGATGGTTTAAATAGCTCATTTCATACCCTATTGGTATATTATAGTTTATAATGGTTAAAAATAACCAACATGTCCTCAGAGTCATACACATTTTTGTTTATGTGTGAAATTGAAGGGAAAAACAAATATTATAATTATAAATATTTCTCTGCGGGTGCACTTTCATATCCAATGCATATGCATTGTGGATATGTTTAAGCGAAGTATCTGGAGATTTTTTTAACAAAATATCTCTGCTTCATAACATATAAACAAAAGCATCAATATCAACTAAGAAAAGTATATAACATACATTTTTATGGACCAAACACGGTGAACTACATATTTAATTCCCTGACATAACCTTCTTGACAGTATCAGTTGTCAATATTCATTACTATGCTGCTGCACAATGTCAACTTTTTTTGATAAGACACGATGATAACATTAATTATAAAACTACAAGGTATTACATTAAAAACAAGTCAAAGATGGATAAGACGTCCCAACCAAAGCAAAGACAACACAATATCAAAAAACGAAATATACATTCGCTGTCCGATTTTGAGATGATGCAAAAAAGAGGAACATTTTCAAACTCTTTAGACACTTATGTCCAAAACGAGGCCAAAATCTAAATTTAATCTCATATCTTCAATCTCCTCGCATTTATTTTCAAAAGTCCTCTCATTCATTTTCAACCATATAACCCAAACAATAGCAAAACAAGCGCAAAGGCGAAGAGTTTTCCACCTTCTATTTCCACCCCTACTCATAACATCAATACCAATCATAGATAACATAATTCTTGGTGCCACCCAACAAAGACCGACATAGCTAAATAATTTGTTCCATAGTGAGAGTGTTATACCACAATGGAAGAATAAATTATTTAAGCTCTCACTATCACATTTGCACTTAACACACAATGTCAACTTTTAAATATGCTACAACATATGCATGTAGATTGTAGACAACATAAAGTTCAAAACATGAAACCATGTATGTATTGAATCAAATTCACTTTCCTAACTCCAATAAATGCATATAAAAGAATATTCAGTTAGACTACAACAAACTAAGCAATTTATAACCTGAAAAATCGATAAAAAAAAAAAAAAGAAGCAAGAGAACAAATTGAAACAATAGCAATGATAAAGAAACAAAAACAAGTAACGATTTGAGAAGCACGTAAATGGTTGAAAAACATGCCTTCTTCATCGCATTACTGGAACTCAATAATGGGTTAAAACTTGGGATTTTCCAGAGATCATAGGGAGTCATCGATAACTCAAAGAAGTTTAGTGCCAAATGGGTTTGGCGGAGAAATCAAGAGTTTGGAAGTTGGAGTTTTCAGAAGTGAACTGTTGTATTTTTTGTCGTTGGTTTTTATTTTATTTATGTATTTTGTATTTTTTGTTGCAACACTCAAGGTTGGGAGAATAACGAGAAATTACACTTTGACCTGCTAAACTATGGACTTGATTTCACTTTATCCCCTGACTTATTCAATTTTTTTTACATTGACCTTTCAACTATTTAAATTATTTCACATCGTCCTTGTTCCTATCACAAGAGTCCGCAATCTTTTTTGAGAGAAATTACCAAGACGTCTAGGTAAAGTTAAAAAAATTACATAATTTTGGTGTTAATTTAAAATAATTTCCATTAAATTTGTACATACTCATTGATGTTTAATGCACATACTCGGTATACAGAAAAGAATTATGCTTGACCTCTATCCGACTCAACCTCTTTTCCATAACCTCAATTATGAATGCAACTCAGCATATTAAACTTGATTATCAATCATTACTAGGTGATTGGCCAAGATTTGAACTGTTTTAGACAGAAAACCAACTTGCAATCTGCGGATGGTGACCAAGCCATACTGCCAAATCGAATTCCGGGGTCTCTAATGCTTCAAACTCACCCAGTTCTATTCTCAATCTCTACCAACACATGCCAAGCATTAACGCAATTCAAAACATCAGCTTTAGATCAGTTATAATACAAGAAAGCTTGTGAACCAAAGTTTTTCGATGGGCTGTGCAACATTCTTATTACCGTGTCTTCCAAAAAAATAGCCTCATACATGTTCTTAGCAACCCATCCTTCTGCCGGGTCCTAAAAGTGTCCTGCGAGGAGGTTCACTTGGCACATAACTCACAGTTAAAGCTCATAAATCTTTTGCTGGTTTTCGGTTAAGGCTTACATAGCCAGCTGCTTTCGACCCTTATATGTGGTTGCTTTCTGTTGCTAGGTTCAGTACCTCCGCCTCTGAATTGTAGTTTTGGCCCTCTTAGGCTTCACAAGGACTAACATACAAGGGAAGTGAAAATACGTATCAGGTTCAATGTGGACTACCCAATCTTCTTGCGTTTTCACACGGCTGTCTAGGTCAGCTTCTGTTTCAGGTCAAGTCCATCAGTCCATGCCTATGAAATTGACTATTGTACAACTTAGAGGAAAGGAACAAATATATATCTATGTAACAAGTTTAACATGGTGAATCAACTTGGTGGTGATCTCCCATTCAGGTTGTCTTGTGGACTTTGGCGCGGGACTGCTCCTGAGAACATCTCCATCACAGATCTCAAGGCCCCAGTCAATTCTTCAGGCATTTGTTCTCCTAAATTGATATTAATGCTCCCACCACCTAGTCTTATTCCCGGCTCATTAGATGTGTCGGTGTCGCTACCTCCTCCTGGCCTATCTTGTGGATGCTGTCCTTGGTATACATTTGCAGCCATATTCATAAACATGTTTGCAACATCAGCAGGTAGACCATTAGCACTGAATGGCATGGATGTAAACGGAGGCGGTGTGGCATGGCTTGTTGACCCCCCATCAGATTGGTTATTTGTTTCTCTGCCATGGCTCGCTGAATGAAAATTCTGCATACATGAAAGAGAGATTGTTCTTATGAATTTGCATACATTCTAAGGGACAGTAAAATAAAATATTTGAATGCGGAATGACCACTAAAAAAATTTTGGGCTTCCAGAAAATAGAAGGTTAAAATGTGCAGTCCACCTGTTGATTGTGCAAAATGCAAAATAAGGCACAGAAGCAGCAACCTCTTGTCGGGATAAACATGCATTTAAACACAACTGAAGAAGCTATGTTTTTGTTCAACCAAGGAGTTGTAGGATTGGTTCTTCCCTAAACATGCAAAGCATGATAGTATTTATGGTTATATTTGTCAAATAAGAAACATTCCAAAGAAATCAAGAGTTCAAAACCCATAGAAAGTTGTATCATGTCCAGCCTCCTCTGTCAGAGATTGGACACCAGATGTGTAAGTAATCATCCCAATGCGTGTTCATGCATTCAAGAAACCACATGGGATAATCCTCAATATACCCATCAATCTGCTGATCAGTTGAAAGAAAAGTCCAAATGAATTCCAGTGATTTAATTGGAACAAATTAATATAACCAACCGCAATGAACAAAATGGCCCCTTTGATATGTTTCACAACACGTCAGGTGAATCAAGCAAACAGTAGTGAAAAACGAATTCATATACTGGTGTTCAGATGGAAGCCACTATGAGTGCAAAACCAGCAGCGAACATATTGATCCCTTTTTGTAGGGTAGAAGATTCACAAAACTAATGGCCTCTCCACTTTGTGTGAATAGTCTCTGACCAACAATTTGTCAGGAGGACATGTTATTATGCAGCTTGAGAACTATTTCGGACTTCCTTCAAGGGAATTCCATTACTTAGTTGTCTTGAGTTGCATTAATCACTTGTGGATTCTGTATCATTTAAAAGTACATCTCACCATTTCTTTTTATTAACACAAAAAATAATACCTGATCATTTTCTGTCCTTTGCTTCTCTTCTTTCATTTTTTGCTCTGCCACCTAGGTTTCACAAGGAAATTTATTATATTAACACTAACATTTACAATCATAATTACACAAATGAACTAACCCGAATATTTTCTTTGATGGAATCATTATTGGGATCCAATTGCAAAGCTGCATAAATCAAATACCAAATTAGGAAACTAAAGAACTATATAATACATCTTCAATGAAAAGAATTTCCAGATATCTGCATTCTGCATTGATTCACAGAATAATTCTTGGCAGAATATATCATGGGATTAGGCATGTAATAGCCTTCTTTCCATATGGGCCTCCCAGGCCAGGATGTCTGGCAGAATGATTGGCCTGTCATACAAAGGCGTAACTCCGGCTCTCTCTACGGGTAGAAGGAGGGGCAACAGCCTTGTCAAGATGCCGGTGAAGCCAAGAACATAAGTAAGAGTTAAGATATTCGACTACACCGTACTGCAAATGTGGTTGTCTAAATGGGATATGTGGTTACTTGTTTTAGTTATATAATGCATTTCCACTAAAAATGCAAGTTGTCAGTGTGTGCACTTTTGCATGCATAGAATGGTAATATATTAGCCATGACCATCAGATTTATTACTGAATGTTAAAGTTAAAGCTCCTTGAATGCTTTAATTCATTATCAAACATGATTTACATAGTCGAGAAGAGGTTTATACTATTTCCATTCCATTTCTAAAGTGCTCTTAAGTTCTTAGGTCGATAACGATGACAAGAAATACAACTCATACTTAGGTTCCTACTATACTATGCACCCTCAAATTGTCGTTCGGTTTGTTGTCACATTGTCTGCTAATTGGCATATGGTAACTAGGTCAGCAACCGTTCATTTAAATGCCATCCCAACCAATCAACTCAAGGAATTAGCAAGAATTAGGGGGTGTTTGCGTTCCAAAAACTAGTTTTTGTTCTCAAAATTTCAAAAACACCCAAAACTTATTTGTTTAGCATTTTTATTCTCAAATTTTTGAGAAAAAATGAAAATTGGAGCAAAAAAATAGAAAACAAGTTAAACTTATTTTCGAAGTTTTCTTTGAAAATTTTGGAAACATATCTGTCATTCGAACCTTCTTAGCAGCAAATAAGGTCCTCCTATAAAATGTATTTTTTTTGCCTATGGTCTCTCTCTTTTTTTTTTGCCTCTCTCTCTCTCTCTACTTCGGTAAAACCCGAACAAACGAACAGCTACACTCTCCGACGACTGTGTCTTCTCCGGCGACTGTAGATCGTCTTCTCCGACGACTGGGAGATCTCCGGTTACTGGGTTACTCCATAAAAAGGTTTTTTTTTTTTTGTTGATCGTTCTCCTTCCCATTTCTCCGACTTTCGAAAGGATCCCAGATCTTAATTTTCAGACCTGAGTTTCAGATCTAGTTTGTCTTCTCTGACAATGGGTTTCAGATCTGGGCTTCAGATCTGGTTTGTCTTCTCCGGCAATGGGTCATCTCCGGCTAATTTTTCCTTTTTTTTTTAATTTTATTACTCCGGCGAAACTTTGGTTCAGTTAAATCAATGGCTAATTTTTTTATTTTTTTTTATCAATTTTAATATATTAAAATATTTTTATATGAAACCATCTATTCAAATAGGTTTTACTGATTTCTATTTTGTAAAATTATTTTTGAAATCATCCAACCAAACAAATGTTGCGTCTCAGAAACACTTTTTTAAAACTTTTCTAAAAAACTGTTTTCGAATACTGTTTTTAGAGATGCAAACCAAACAGGCTCTTAATATTGATATAACAGAAACAACAAAGTTTCTTTTGTGTTTGTTGCAAGGGGGTGGGTAATTGCAACTTCCCTCCATTTTTCATCGTCATTGTTAGGTCCAAAACCAACTATTTAATTGGTGATAGCATGTAATATGCCATCAACATCATGTAGGTCAACCTAGCATTGCTGTTGTTGAACCTTATTATTGCATCAACAATATTTACCACCATTTTCCAACATAAGTGCATATATCTATCTAGACTACTTCAAAATGATATTATTTAGAACAGAACAATAGTCAAGGTCATGCCAACATTGCAGAGAAAAAAAGGAATGGACATGCAGTGCATTGGCTATTCCAATGGATACATTGTTCAGGCTATGAATTCACTATGTTGTTTTCAAGGAAATATCAGTTCTTAAAAATGATCTCACCAACCTTTCAAAAAACCTTCGTCAATAGCATCCCTGTACCTCCCTTGCGCATAATAAGAAAATCCCAAACGACTATATGCCTTGCTATAATTTGGATCAATGTCAATGGATTTAAGACAGTCACTAATTGCTTCTGTATATTGCTGGATCTGTGTGTAAGCAGCTGCCCTGACAAGTGGATGTCAGAATAATCACGTGAATTTTCCAACAGAAATCTGAAAAGCTTAAAATTAACTTGGAAAACAAAAAGCACAAAAAACATAAAGGGTCTTGTTCCAGAACCTCAACTAAGTGACTTATCATAAGCAGAAAATGCCAACAGGACTCCCCAAATTGTTCAAATTCTCATTTATTAAAAAAATCATCCAAAAGAATTCTATTTTTACTTCCATAGTATGCTAAAAATTGGTTGACAAAAGAAAATATATGAAGGGTGGTTTCATAATTCTATATGATATGATAATTATGACCATCCAGAGCCCTTTGCTTAGCTAATAGTTACTTCTTATACGAAAGAACTAAGGGACAGAAAGAAATAAATTGTTTGTATCATTCAGGAATTTGAAATTGATTAGCGTAGCACTACACTCATGTAGGACTTGAATACAAACTTCAAACCCTTAACCACCTCCCTTTCCCCACCTGCTCACCCTAAAAAAAAACATAAGTTGAGAATGATTATAAACAATTGGAGGAAAGAAAACAATCCGTAAAATGATGGTTATCATGGTAGTTATTTATCATTTGAAAAGCACTCCCCCACTCTTATTCGTGCTGAAAATTTGAGCAAATTCGTTAAGTTGCAACCAATAAGGCTTCACATTCAACACATATATCATGAATTTTTCAGTAAGTAGTGCACCTATTACAATAGTAAACAGCATTATCTTCTCTCAGTGCAATCGCAAAAGTATACAGCTCAATTGCATCAAAATATAGCTTCGACTGCATGGCCTTATTACCTGCAAAAAGGAAATTCAGACTTGCATTATATTGAAAGCAAAATTAACTGAGCCTGATATGCAGATGCAATAGAGTTACTCTGTGCATGAGCACCCAATAAGACAACTGCATGAATAATAAAGAAGTGAAAGAGAAACATAGCCACCGCTGAAGAATATTTTCAGAAGAGCTTGTCCAAAAATACAATTTTACACACACGTATGTGTGTGCAGACTGCAGAGAGAGAGAGATTGGTGTCCATAAATATTGTCCAATATCAAAAGTCCAAGAAGAAATCAAACCCAGTTCTTCAATAACCATTGGTTTTTCAACAGAATACTTTTGCAATAGTAGTAATGACAAGCTCATAATTGTATTCATTTAAGCTTTCCAAAACAATGTGCTGGGATTATAATGACTTACTCCGAGGAATAAATGGAGTAAGATTTTCTCAAACATGTCAGAAAATATGATGATGCTTTTATAAATTTTAATACCCATAACTCCTAACTCATGCGAAAGCTAGCCGCAGGAAAATACCTTGTGATTTCAAAGTCTCAGCCAGGTTTTTGCGATCAAATCTCTGGCATCCAGATTTTTGCATTTCCTGATGCCACAATAATGTGTTTAGCTTGTCAAGAAATTTGGAGGGAAGAATGAAAAAAAGCAAGAACTAGCACCCATAGCTGGTGCAAGAAATAAATAACAATATCATGAGAGAGAAAAAATAGACCAAAATCATTACAATGTTTTAGGTAGTTCTAGTCACAATGGTCGTTCCTTTAAACATTGCAATGCACAAGCTTATTTACTGGCAAAAGCTTGTTACTTTTCCTTTATTCTTGTCCTAACACCAAGACTAACTAAAGAAACAAGAATAATAAATATGAACAATAACTTCAGTGTTCCAGACCAAGTGGGTTCCGTAAGAATTCTATTGAACATCGACGTAAATCACAAAGGTATTAGGTTTTGGGGAAACTAGGTTCCAGAAAGCAAATTTTCAGGTACATATGTTGCTGAAAGGTACTAACAGCATGGCCAGTGCCAAGCACTTAGAACCCCTCCACTTTTGCTCTCATTCAATTTCTCACCCAACCTAAAACTCCTTATCAATACACCAGAGTCAGCTCCTGAGGACATCAGCTTATCGCCTCCATCACACTGAGAAAGAGAAAAGGTGAAAGGGAATCCCCTTGTCTCAAGCTGGAGAAGATTCTGGAGTACTTGATGACTGAGAACCTGACTGATGAAATGGAACCCTTCGTGCACTTCCTCTATCTAGCCCCCAAACTTATCCACTTCAAAACTGAGAAGAAAACTCCTAAAAAGAGAAAACTACCATTAACATGATCGTACACCACCTTGAAATCCACTTGCAAAATAATCCAGGCTCACCATCCAACTCTAGAATAAGACAAATGGTGACAAAGACAGTATCAAGAATATATGTGCCTCCCACAAATGCATTACAGATCTCAAAAATTGCCTACACCATTTGAAGCCTCAATGAGAGCACCTTTTTTTTTTCCTTTTTGATAAGAAGCAACACTTTCATCCCATAGCAAATAGTGACAGTACAAAAATGGTGGATAAGATATCCAACCGAATACAACAGAAATCAAAAAAAGCAACAGGAAATGAAAAAAAAAACAGAACCTCCCTCAATCACAAAATGATTATGTTGGATGCATATTAGGGCTTTAATTTTCACTAAGGAAGGATGTGTAGGCTTTACTAATAAGATAGTAAGGGTTTTTTTAGCTTACTCTGCTACAGTGGACTGCTAGTAAGGTGCCATGGTTTTTAGGCTTGAAGAGCTTAGTGCTGTGCCAAGTGGTATCAGAGCCAAAGGTTAGGCAAAGACCTGGCTAGTGTGAAGAACCTGTAGGCTAGTGCCGTCGAAGAGGCTCGACGAGAGCAGACTAGAGATCGTGTGGATCGCCTTGCTACAAACCTGAAGGGACAGATTTCGAGCATGGGAAGTCGGGAAACTCATTAGTCAGCACTACCCAAAAATGTCAGAAACATAACTCTATCCCCAAGACCATCTCCAATCACCACTCAAACCCTTACTCATATTTGAGTAAAAATTTATGTGAAAAGCGTGATTTCATACAAACCACTCCAATGGACAATTCCAAATTATACTCAGATCATTTAAAAAATTCCCTTATTGTCCTAAAATCTCATTTCTTCAATTTTTTTCATTAAAAACTGTTTTCCCTCTTCTTTTTTTTCTGTACTTATTTCCCTCCAAAAACCACCTTCCATCTCAATAGTCCCTTCCCTCCCAGTGTAATGCACAGTACAGAAAAAAGTAAAAAAATAAAAATAAAAATAAAATAGGAACAGTGAAATCGGTGGAGTCCAAAATTGAGTTGATTTCTTCACAAGCCATCCCACCATTATACCGTGGGTATTCCGACAGCTTGATGTTGTGGTATTCATAGAAAAGAGAAAAACAGGGTATGTGAAAGGAGGGAGGCAGAGTGAGAAGGCTTGCTGTGGCTTTTGAGATTTGTTTTCAGGGAGGGTTTTGAGCTAGGAATGTGGCCGTTGCTTTTTGGGTAAAGAATTTGAGCCTCTCTTGATTTGGGTCTAGGTTAGAGTTTTCTTTGATTTGGTATGGTTTTAGGTAAAGGGTTGGAGATGGATTTTTGAGGTTTTTTACTCAAATTTAAATTTGGGTCTACAAGTGGGTAAGGGCTAGAGATGCTCTAAACAACTACAATTCCTCAACCTTTTCCTCAAAAATTCTGCAAAATCTTTCCATTCACACTACCTAAAATACAGCCATAAAAGCAGATGCCCACAAAGTTAAAGGCCTTTTGTTTTCCCAATGCCATAAAAACATAACGAACATCCCACAGAATCACCCACACAAATCCGTCCTGTCTACACAGTTTATGCCACAAGAAAAAGCAAAAAAAGCACCTTAATTATCAACTTATATACACCCCCATCAAACTAACCAGTATAATGGATCTAACATTAACTGCAGCCCCGTTCTTGACAACCAAGGATAGGCATTCAAGCAATTTTCCGACTCATTTTATCCCCCACAAATATTCTGAATATAGCTACGTCTCCATTGCTTGAATGATTCCATTGGGGGCTAATGTTACAAGGCCATACAGCAATGCCTGTGCGTTAATTATGATGCCTAATAGTAAATTGTATGTATTGGTTATGGAGTTATGTTTTATTTTACCTCAATCATCGACTAGAATGTATCTAGGCCAATAAAATGGACTAAAACAAGCATCACTCCCTGCGCAGCTAAAGGTACTAATTGACTAAAATTAATATTAATAACATAAGATAAATATATGAACTTCACCTTCCGGATGATATGAAGTTCACCTTCCGGAAGATATGAAGTTCAAAAAAGGCATATCAAATTGTATGCCACCTGTCATTTAAGTAGATCTACTTGAAAGAACAATGGCAGCAGTCAGAGCCACGATAATATTGTAAAACTATTATTTCACAGCATGCTAATCAACCACCAAGAGAGCAGGTAACTCTTGTACCACAGAATATGGCTGAGAGCAGGAGTGACAAACTAGAAACTTACCCTTTTCCACTTATCTTCCTAAGTGTGTCTTCACAAAAAGCAATTAGAAATGGACAGCGAAGGTACGAAAGGAGAGTTTTCTGGCAATAAATTCAGAATATTGATAGTATTTAACTCTTCTGACATCTTTTTCTCTCAACTTTAGCATGAAATAACATAAAATGAATAACCCACAAGAGCTAAAGGAGAATTATTGTTCAAAACTCTTGGATTTAATTGAAAGCTTGTAATGAGCAGCAGCACTCAATCTAACAGTCGAAAATTTTGAAAAACTAAGCATCAGCATGCGTGAGATATCAGATGAAAGAGCTGCAAGCTGCACATATCTTTTGTTTTTTTCTAAAAAAATAAGGATACTAGGAAATGCAACACCAAAATTTAAATAGTCATTTAATGGATCAAACAAGGCATTCTCTCATAGTATGCACACTGAATTTGCAACACCGAACACTGAAACGGAACTGTTCAAAAACTGAATACTAACGAGCATGAATGCATGAAGTTTAGTTTTGCAATTTCTCATGTAACTAAATTTATCAGGATTTCGTTTTTCATGGTGCAACAAAAGTAAATCTTTTATAGCATAAATCATACCTCTAGAGCATTATGAAATAAATTTGTTGCCCTATCCAGCTGAACCTGGTCGTCATTTCCATCAGATGTACTCTTAAAATAGTGGATTTTTTCAAGTGCATCAAATAATTGACCAAAGAGTTCATCCTTAGAAATCCCTGCCAATGGCATGATGAACAATTTAATTATAAAAATGGATAATCAATAGTCAATAATTGTAATACGTAATCTATATAATAAAACAACTCATACTTTGAATTTTATTCCACACATTTTTCCCCCCAAACCCATCACATCCAACCTTTTCTCACAGTCACTCACTGTCAGAGGCATGTCGCTTCTCTGCCTTCCCTTCACGCCATCTCTTCGTCTCTCTCTCTCTATCTTTCTGTGCTACACAATCTTCAGCAACACTACAATTGCCAGCGCACCGCCACAGCTCTCCCAGGTATCCCTCTTCTTTGCTTCTATTTGTCTATCTCTCTCTCTGCACAAACACACGAACAACCCCTTCCCAAGCTCTCCAATTTATGCGCAAACCCCCCACCCCTACTCCTTTTGCGCAACCCACCCCCACCAGTTACTTCCTCTCTATCACACACACACCCCCTCTGTTTCTCTTTCTCTCGCACACACACAATTAACAAACCCCCCAAGTCTCCCCCTTCTGTGCAAACCCTCCCACCCTCTGCTCTTCTCTCTCTCACACACACACTTAACAACCCCCCCCCAAAAAAAAAAAAATCTCCCCCTTCTGTACAAACCCCCTACCCTCTCTGCATAACCCACTCCCAACCCCACCCAAAATACCCATCCCCTCCTCTCTGCAACACATTCACACCACACAGAACAAACACTCACGCACACAGACAGAACACACAACACTTAATTTTTAAGATTGTTGAAATTTTGTATTAGTTTATGGATGGTGAATTTTATGAAATTTATTGTCAATTGAAATGTTAGTTGAAATTTGGTTATTGTTGTATGAAATTGATGGTGGAATATAATAAGTTTTATTTGTTTGGATTTATTGTCAATTGTGTGAGTTTTTATGTTTTTTTATTTTTAAAAATTCAATAGATATTTGATTGGTTTATAGTTCGATGCTAGGTGATTGGATGCAATTATGGTGTTAGGTAGTGGTGCCATTTTGGTGGTGGTGGTTGGTGTCAAACGTTATAGGTGATCATGAGTTAAGATGAGAATGTTTGCTGATGTTACTTCTCTGCTAGACAAACTAATATTGGGTCCTCTTGCTTATTTTACTTTTACTGGGTTTCTTAACTTATTTTCGTTTGACTTTTGAAATTCTATTTGCACATTGTTACTGTTTGTGCAATTGTTGCTCCATGAATAATTAAATTGTCCCTTCCTAGAGCCTCATAATACAAGAAGTAAAATGCTAATTGAATTTTGTCTTTGTTCTCTTTGTTACTCCTCGGACTATAGTACTAGGACTTGGGTTGGACTGCATTATAATTTAGATATACTTAACAAGTCTCTAATTGTTCATTTTGAGACTTTTTCACTTTTGCTACTTCATTTCGCTTTTTTAATTCAATTGCAATTTAACTACTTTACCTCTTTCTATCATCATCTTGGTTTATGGTTTAGGATCGCAATCTACACTAATAAGGCACAAGTGCATCTTTATATGAATTGTTGCTATGTCTAGGGTTTTTATATATTGTTGTATCGCTCTTGAAATTCTATCTTCTTCACCATTTGTGTTTTAATTAATGCCTAACATATTATGAAATGAGATTTTTGTATGAACTACTAAAGTGCATCTGAAGGATAGGTTGTTCTTTTTAATTTAAATTTTATTTTGTTGGACTTCCTTAGTTTTTTGTTATGCATTCTACTTATCATTTTTCCGGTACTTAAGAATTCTGGAGAAGGGTAATAGGTGACTGATTAAATAACCCCCTTTTTTAATATCGCTTAAGGTTTTTGTGTGTTTGGGGGGGGGGGGGGGGTGTGAATAAGTGTAATTTTAGAATGGGATTGTAACATGATATTGGTGTATTTTGGGTCATGCTTTCTTTGAACATGCCTATATCACTTACGAGCCTTTAAATTCTTTGTGAATTGATTTTGCTTTCTTTTTAGTAACTTTCTTGGGTTTTTTTGTCATTGGTGGCTTAATCTTGAACTTCACTGCTTCTTTTGCCTTGGGTCATTCTTTGTGTTACTGTTCAATCTAGCATGTGACAAATATTTTGATAGCCCTTTTGGCACGGGTTATCATAATATTGTTATATGTTTCTGAATGTGGTTTTCATATGTGGTTATATATACATGTGCACCTTATATGAATTGTTGTTATGTATGGGTTTCCCTACGTTGTCGTATTGCTCTTGAAATTCTTTCTTCTTCAGCATTTTTGTTTTAATTACTATCTAGCACACTCCTAGTTATGAATTAATGTCAAATTTTCTTGGTTTGTAGTCACTTTGAATTTGGTTTGATTAGGTTCAATTTGAATATGCTTGAATTGATTGTTGTTCCATTGGTACCATTGAGGTTACTTATCTCTTTGCTTACGAGTTGTGTTTATTCAATTTGTCGTTTTATTGTCATTCTTTTGCTTTTGTTTGTGTGAAATTTAGAATTTTGGCACTTTGGTTTGTGTAAACTTTAGAATTTTGACATGTTGAAATTTAGAACTTATGTTAGTTGGTGTTGTCGTAGGCCAAGAAGGGGTTCTCTATCATTATCTTACTTCCCAAGTTGTGCTTCTTTAATTTGTTGTGTTTGACTTTTTATGTTGGTCATTTGATTTCATGTTTTATATGATGATCTACAGGGTACCAATATTCCTATTTGTTGAGTTCTCATAATTACCCATTGTTTGCTATATACTTGGTGAACAAATATGTCGTGCTACTTATAATAAGTTATGGTTGTTTTAATTCCTGTGTTTGTACATTAAACTCAATGCTCATTTCTTTTTTTGTTTTTTTTTGGAATAACCTTACATTGCACGGAGTGAATGCTTATGGAAGTGTTGATTTGATGCTAATTTGTGTTTAATTTTTTCTTTTTGTTACAGGTCCGAAGTTTTGGGTTTCAATATGTTTGGTGGAATAAAGAAACTGTCATGTGACCTTACTCCTTAGGCTTGAGAGGCCCTTGACTTCATCTCTAACATGATTATCTAAGCCAAACTCAACTTTCGTGCGATTATGGTAAAACACATCAACGTCGGTGAATGGCATCATTGACACTTGCGAGTTGAATATATTTGTTGTGAATTATGATGCAAATTAGTTTCCATATTAACATGAATCGAAATTTAAGTTATGAAAAACTCCATTATTGACCAACTGAGTTTTGAGTAGTTTTTTTTTGTTGAAACGTAATTGTAGGTTTTGCTAAATGTTGAATTAATTTGAATTGACATATAGTTCATGGAATGCCAGATACTTGAATGATATATAAGTTGATCTAATAAGCAGTGTTGATAATTGATGAAGTGAAATGGTGGTTAATTTATGGAGTTGTTTTGGTTCTTATGTTATATGCTAGAGTGTTGGTATCACCAATGGGTGTTAGGATGTGGTGTAGGTTGAAATTTTTTTAGTTATGGGTGAAGGGTGTATGGTTTTTGTTATGGTTGAAGGGGCTATGGTGTTTATGGTTTGTAATTTTAAAAAGTGAGATACGGATGGGTTAAAAATGAGTTTCTTTGGTATATAGTTGGTTGCTAAACAATCGACCTCTCCCCCCCCCGCCTCTCTCTCTCTCTCTCTCTCTCTCTCTCTCTCTCTCTCTCTCATGTCTTTGGTCATGTTTTGGTGTGCACTTGAAACGTGATTAAAAATGATTGGTTAAATTACCACTGTGGTAGCAAGATTATATGAGTAAAATCATTCAAATTAGCCTAATTTTGTTCGAAGGTAATATGGATATTAAAGTGTAAAAAGTTGATGATGTAATCACTCTTTTGACATTCCCAATAACGATGGGGTACTTTGTGAAATAGGTAGGTAAACAATAAGGAGTGTCAGTGTAATTTCAAAAAATTGAGGCGGCGCATTTGTAATTAGACCAATCTACATGGTGTATTTGTAATTAGACCAATAGTATCCAAGACTTTTCTTGGCCCAAAAGTATTTTCATTGTGTTTGAGATATTTAGTACTAATAATTTTATGATTGCGTACACACAAGTTGTTAGTTACTCCTTTTTTTAATTTTTTTATTTCCTTTTATATTTTTATTTTTATGGGCTAATAGTTGACATGCTTGATCACATTTGTTTTCGTTGAAAAATTGGGTATTGTCGCGTTT